ACTTGTTGTAAGTGTTGTTATTGCTCTTCTACTTCTTCTTCTTCTGTCTTTGGAAGTGGGCCTATCGTTTGTGAGTGTATAGAGATTAAAGGAAAAGATAATGATTTCGTCTATCCTTTAAAAACCCCAAACAAAACAGTATAACAACACTCAACAGTTACCCAAAACACAAAACCTTTGACAGGGCTACAAAACACATACTACAAAAATCCCCTTTTCACTTCCAGAGAATAGAGCGCATTTCGAAAATACTTATAGCTCTAGCTCTAGAGGCTCGCTAGAGAATGACTCTGGAACAGGAAGAAGGCAGAGGCTGACCTTGTCTATTTTCACTTTCAATTGTTTTGTAAACTGGACTTGGATTGCTCGCCCAACTAGCAAAGTTGACGACACTGCCCGACTCTTGTTTTCTCTTGAGTGCAGCCTTGAAAGACTCCGAAATGGCATCAGGTCAACCGCCATCACAAGTCTATTCGACTGCGCAAAGAGTAGGCCAAGATGGACAGCAGAATGTGCCAACTGATAATGCGAGTGCGGGGCCCGGTGGTCAGGTTGTCTTTTAGTCTTAGTTGTTAAATTAAATTATTAGGCCTTAGAATATAGATCTAGATCTAGATCTAGATTATCTAGATTATCTAGATCTAGATCTAGATCTAGATCTAGTAGTGTCTGTCTTAGTTTTGATTCATTGTAATTGTAAATTTACAATGTTATGGGCGGCAATACACTCTACACTTCACAACTTCACTGTAGGCCTACACTCTACACTACACCGATGGCCTTTCCCCATTCCTGTCTCTCTGACTCTGAACATTTTATATACTTTTCCATTTCAGCCTTACACTTTATTTTATGGCCGGCTCTATTTCTCCGAATGCTCGGGAAAATAAACTTGAAAACTATTTCTCCGAACGGTTTCCATTCTCAAGATTTTTTGGATATTTGTGAATGGAGTGGCCGAGTGGCCCGTGTGTGTGTGTGTATAAGGTGTGAACGGGAGAGGGCGTGGGGGCGTGACGCGATTTTTTTTTTTTTTCGTTTTGCTGTAGGGGTGACTAAATGCAAACTAGATCTAGATCTAGGTTGCTGCCGAAGTCGAGCAGTCTTGTTTTCTCGCTGTACCTTTTGAAGGCATTAAATTCAAATTATGCAGTTTGGTCCGGGAACGTTGCCCCAACCACAATTGAAGTATCTGGATATTCAGACATCTAAAATCTCTGCTTGTTCTAGAAATTGAATTTGATGCGAAAAATGCTTCTTCCCAATCCTCGCAGAATGGCAGAATGAAACATGACGCCGAATTCTCGCAAATAACCAAAAAATCTCAAGAACAGAAACCCTTAGGAGAAATAGAGGTCCAGTATTTTTCTGAGGGTTCGGAGAAATAGTAATAGTCACTTAGTTATTTTATTCAGCTTGTTCACTTTCGTCTGACTACAGGAAAAAAATTCCAGCTCATTGAGGAATTTACCAATGCCCAT